GACCTACTTTCGACGGACGCGCGCAACGGACGTTCTCCGTTTAAACCACCACGAGTTTCGCGGCGTTCGTCCAGTACTGGGTGAATGTACCCATACCCACATCAGATTGGTGACGAATGAGAACCACGAGTTCTAAGACTGGTCTTGTCACAGATCCCTACTTACTTGCTGACGAAGAGGGTCGTCGTTGGGTGATCTGTCTGAAGCAGGAATACCGTAACATGCTTGCCGCTACCCAGCATCTTGCACGTTCATTAGGCTTGGACTATTCCGGTAAGTCGGCTCTCTACTGCATTCTCTTCGCTAGTTGAAATATGGATTTCAGGATTTCCCTGTTCTGAGCAGCGATACGTGCTGGCCGACGCTTTTCTAGCCGGTTTGGCGGACTGCCTTCAAGGAGAGGCGTTGAGTGAAGCTGGAGCTTGGCTTGCTGCCCTCGGCAAACACCTCCCTGAAGAGGTGGGCATTGAGCAATGTTTTCTCCTTTCGCTTTCCCAGTCGTCAGACATAGTTTCAGTTTGCTACTCCATGGGAACGAAGCGGCGAGTTATTCTGCTCAAGACATAGAGTCGAAAGAAATTCCTGCTGCGCAACTGTAACTGCTTCCCGGGCCACATTCATAATTTTGTACGCTGTCGAGCAACTGCTTAAGTAGAATTACTATCCCAATCCCAATCTAATCGATCAGATCAATCCAATCGCATCTCACGCAGCACACCTATCCGAGTTTGTGTTTAATCGGAATTTACAATGAACAATTCGAATTCATTTTTGTGCACACTCACAGAGAGAATAGAGAATACCGGAACATTCCAAAAATATTACTCGAAAAAGGCCTTATGGAATGTCCAACACACTACCTGAGCCACTTCTAGAGTGTGCACTGAGCAGAAGGAAACGCGCAGCGTGAGCGCATCAAGAAAGACGTGAAGAACACAAAGAACAACTGTTCCGCGCTAACCTTTTCGACACTGTTCCTTCCTGCTTTGGCGTTCGCCTCGGAGACTCGGACTCAAGCACTTAGAACCGCCCCATACATCCAAGTGTAGAAGGGTCTTTGTAGTTCCGAGCTTCGTAATAAACGAAGATCAGGTACACCGTCGATAACGCCAGGGAACCAAATATCAGGTGAGCCGCACACGCTGTGCGATATCGTGATGACCGTTGGACCAGGGCGGTTACTGACTGAATCCCTTAGGACGTCAAACGAACGCGAGGACAGTCGCCAACGCGATAGTCACACTTTTTCACGAGAGGAACGAATGAAAGAAATGCTATGCCTCGCGTCCATCGAGCAAAGACGAACTACTGGCCCAATCTGGTTGGCTACAGGGACGAATGAATACGTTACTGGCGTCCGTTTTGATCAACGTCCCGACAGTGATTCCTGCTGACTGTGATTCCATTGCACTGAGCCCATCGCCGAACCTCCGCTCATGCACTGAGTGCCTTCCTGACGTGAACGACAAATTTAACATTTTACTCAAATATCGAGTAAGAACTAATAAGTGAAAGCACTCTAGAAGTGGAGTAGTAGAGCAGTCTCCATGTAGGCAGAAATCCTAACCCGAATTGGCCGGCGTGCTACTTTTCTGAAAACATGCATTCGGTATTGGGTTCATAAGGTCACGAACAATCATGGAAACATATTTACAGAATTTTTTATAGGTGTATTGCCTTTTTCTGCAGTCCTACTCGACTTATTATAAATAAATGCACTGCGAATTCATCCTCAGCGTTCAGAACATCTGTTCCGAGACCTAGGAAACGATTATAATATTTGCATATCACACTCAGAAGCAACTTGGAGTCGCGATAGTGCTACTGCTTTTTACTACACTTCTTGGGCTACGCATGCTAACCCTGTATAACACGCTTATCCACGATCTTACTCAAGAATAATATACGAACATTTTTGATGCCCCTTATTCACGGTACTGCTACATACAAACGTCCTATTGGCTGCTTTCAGAATTCAACAACCGACCGACCGACCGGTGACAACACTGTACAGATTGCGTTCAACTGGCCAGTGTTGTGCCCACGTGGCCACCGAACGCAGTCGGTCGGTCGGTCGGTTGGTCGATGAGGTCTCAAAGCAGCCCTTAGGTTTCATTTCTGGAAGTCACGCATGTGGAGTGAACTACTTAAGAGTAGAGGTTCTTTGAGTGAGTAGCCTTCGTGAACATTGACTTCGAAATTCCCTTGAATTTGACTGTAGAAAAGTGTGCATCAACTCATCCTGCGACAAAAAGAGCAAGCTATTGTCTGAGTGACGCCAGATTAAACACCACATTAGTCATGAAAAGCTATAAAAAAAGCAAGTTCTTCGCAAATTAATGAAAGGAGCATTCTAGTCGAGCTTTTTCGGAAGTAAAACTGGGTTTCACTGTTGCGTATGAACCCGAGTTGATGCCAGCCAGCATTCTGACCTTCAGTTGTTGGCCATCAAGCACATACTACGAGTTCCCAGACCATATGTGCTTCAACAACGAAAAGAACAAAATATATCAATTTTATCAGAGAATAAGCCTTGTGGCCAAGGACCGATCTGTGGGCGATGTTTTAAGGGAAGACCTAATAGGAGTTCACCATTTCTCGGAAATTGTTGCCTTACCTTGGGCCTTAGGCTGCTTAGTGCGCATCCTATTCTTCGAAACAATCAAGCCCTACAAGCAAGCGTACTCTGAGAAAAATCAATGATAGTGGTGAAATGGTGAGAAAATGAATGGTAGCCCGATATTGAATCGAAGCGAGTAATAACAAAGAATAAGAATTACCAAGGTCAAGCGAACGGGTATTATGGGGTACAAGACAGCTCAGCAACTGGCTATTCATGTGCATAGCCATAAGTAACAGTAAATCTTAAGTTGTAAGAGCGGAAGGAAAGGCAAGAGGATAAACTAGGAAACGTCAAGCACGAAGTAAGGCTCATTAGGCAACCAATACTTGTCGTGTGTTGCCACCCATAGGTAATAAATGCACTCATTACAAAGCAACTCGCAAATATAGAGGGCGTAAAATAATCAACGAGCCTCTTCTGTACCTGAACCATCCAGTCCTCGTGGTTTAGAAGGATGCAAACCAATGATGAAGACCACGACGTGGCTGAAATGCGATGCCACTCGTGCCTCGCTAGAACTCCCACTCACCAGCTTAAACAAATTGCGAGAGCTGAACAGGGCCAATGTAGCTACGCTTTTTTGCGAAGAGTTCAGCATAACCCTTTACGGTCGCCCAGCATTTGTTACGTCGAAAACTTCACTCATAGAAGGTCTGAACAACACAATACCGTCAATTACCCTGATATTTTACAAAAGTTTCGATAAGTCTCTATGACGTTCGGTATCCCATCATAACACGAAGCAAATCACAAAATTTTATTGAAATATTGATATTTACTCCATCACATTCAAGAACCCGAACAAGAGCATTTGGCACAGGAAATAAGAACGAGAACAACGACCAGGAGATCAAGCATTTATCGGAACACCACAACACGGACACAGAGAAAAGCGGAAATTAGAAGACCAGTATCTGCCGCCACCTTGAGCGCTCATCCATTGCTGCTGACCAGACGGTGGACCAGCCCATCCTCCCGCTTGCTGGCCCCATCCTTCCGGATATCCCCATCCTTGTCGCTGCCCATATCCTTCATAACTTTGTTGTTCATAACCTCTTAATAGAGGTCCACCGTAACCTGCAGTTGTACGTTTCAGCTGTGGCACCTTCGAGCGTTGATTGTAAGAAAATCGATACTAGCAGAAGCGAAGAAGAAAGCGGTAGATCCCAGTCATCAACAACTGAACTCACCGTAACCATATTGTTGTCCGTAACACCCGCAGACTAGCCCACCCCAACCCCCTGGCCATCCTCCACGAGATCGACTCATGCGGTACATGCGGTCACGAGCTTTTTGAGCCTAATTATAAATTAGCGTTGACTACTTCATCGCGTATGAAACAGCTCCCAACAGACTGCAAAACTAACTATTTTATTCATTTCTTCTTTTGAAAGCCCCTTCTTAACCTTGCATGTGAATCCGTTTATTGTGTGAGTGCCCACGAGAACACATTGGTCCACTGGATCGTTGTCATCAAATGTGACGAAGGCGAATCCACGAGGCTTGTTGGTGAATTTGTCCAGAAAGATCTCCGACTAGAAATAAGCATTTCTACATTTGCCAATAGACCGCATGGTAGAGAGCACTCACCTTCACGACATTTCCGTATTTCCCAAAGTATTCAGTTAACATCTTTTCCGTGTGCTCCTCACGAATGCCACTTACGTACAGACGCTTGGTGGACACATTCGCTATGTCACGGTCCTTGCTGTCCCTAGGCATGGCTCGCTTAGCAGTCACAGTTCTGCCATCAATAACGTGGGGGCGCGCAGCAATAGCAGCGTCAACCTAAACGATAATGCTCAATTCAACTGCAATGCATGAAAAATGACAAACAGACAACAACAATGTAGATGACAAATACGTACATTGGCTATACAAGCAAAAGTAACGAAGCCAAATCCTCTTGACCGTTTCGTATTGGGATCACGCACAACGACAACATCAATCAACTCGCCGAACTGCTGGTAGAACTCGCGCATAACCTCAATCGTAGTGTTTCCCGTAAGACCTCCGACGAAAATTTTACGGAGTATCTCCGGCTCAGTCTCTCCAGTAGCACTTCCATTCTGGAATATTAACCGCTCTAGATTTGCTGAAATGAATCCGCAAAAACCTTCTAACGACCCGGGTTCAGCTGTGAGAAAAATAATGTACATAAAACTCAAATAAAGCTGAGATGTCCATCGTCAGCCACAAGCTCTGACAGTCTTACGAACTAGAGTAATTCTTAATCGGCAGGTTTCAACTAGCTAGGAACTTCGCTGGCTAGGTACCTATACAACTGAAGAACTGTTATGGTCACTAACAGATCCACTACCTAAATTTGATCCCTAAATGTAAAAGTTAGCTGTTGTACAGATCTCACGGTGTGTAAAATACGAGCTAGAGCCATAAAATTATCTCGGATACTCACAGCCTTGCTAATACGCTTCCAACCAAGATCATTTCAGATGTCCTCCGCCCTCTCTTTTCTAGAAAAATCATTTCTGTCCTCTGTGCCCGACATTTCTGTTTTATAAATGAAGTATTATAATTACTAACATTTAAAGTATATAAATAAGGGGGAAGAATCGAAGATGTAGTTCAGCTTCCGTCTTGCGCTGGCCTAGAAGGGAGGAGGGACAGTATTTCCCCTACGTGCTCATCACTTGGGTAAAGGAGAGAAAAAGAGTAGAATCAACATCATTTAAAACGATTACGATTGGAAAGAAGAAATAATGAGAATGTAGCATACAATAGTAATTAGATGTATATCACAAAACTACCTCTTCAACAATTGGTTGTGGTTGATCGACTACTTCCGTTTTCACCTAAATCTGAATTTTCAGACATGTATGCCTACCACAAATTTCACTTGTACAAATAGATAAAAGTAGATAGAGTGCAAAATGCGTACCACTGGGGCGGAGTTGGTCCAATCCGGCTCTTCCTCTTTGACCCGCAAGCAGGCCTGAAAGTGGTTAATTCTTTGGAGAGGCCTTTCCTTATCACAACTTCGTCCCACGACAGATGTCTACGAATAATCTCTATCGAAAATGAGTGCAAAAGAAAGAAGAGAGTTACTCGAGGAAATCAAGTTTTAAAAACTCAACTCGCTTTGGGACGTTGCTTCGCCAAGCATAGCTAACTTCTTTTTGAATTCTTTCTTCCACTCATCTATTTTCTGGTGCATGTATTCTTTTCCTTTTCTGTAACAAAGAGACTTTTCCGCAGTTCTTCCGATCCTCTTCGATAATACACGATTGTGCATTCTCAAGAAGAAGAGAGGATTGCAGGACTACAAAATTACTGTATTAATCATTCGGAATTGCATTACTGAGGAACGAATTCGATCTTTAGTATTCGCTAAAGTCATTTTTGAAGAAAGAGTATCGGTGAACAGAGTATTAAGATCAACACATACAATATAAGTTAAAGAGTTGGCGACAATCACGCTCCGGGGGAAAAGAGATACTATGGACCGACGCTTTTTATTTTCACCCACGACTGCAGCCCAAAGGTGAACTTCATGGTCCATCGTGGCCATTTTTTTCGAATGTAATGGTCGAATTTTATTTTTGGCTGTAGCGCTCGGTGATCATTCAGTCATGAGCTCAATAATCTTCACAATGGCAACCGTCCTTTCAAAATATCTCACTTCTTCAAGTTTTTCAATGAACAATACTATGTTGGTACTATGTTGGGTGGAATTATAGAGTCTTTAGCCACTGATCAATCCCGTCTGAAGGTTGCGAACACGCATTCGACTTCCATTGAGAATCGTAGTGATGTGCTGATTGTTATTATTGAATGGATATCGATCCGGGACTCGAGCCCGTGACCAATTCGGTGGTATAGCGTGCCACTTGCCACTACACCACCTTTTCCCTATGAAGGGCTATGCCGTCCGCATCGATGACTCACTACTTTCTTACAAAAGAGAGTCTTTTTCAGAAATAAACCCGGTCGAAGCGACACAGGTAAGGCATCAATCGTAAAATTTTAAAAATGTAAAATTCTCTCGGACATTACAGTATCCTTACGGTTACTTTTATTCTATTTTCGAAGCGAGGCTGAGGGCAGACGGGCAGAAATATCATTCAGCAGTGACCTTTAGCGCGCAAAAAAGTATGTAGCCAATGGTGTTCCTTTCCTTCTGAAGAATTGGGTAAAACTGTAATTCTTTGCCAATTACCGTCTCATAGCATAGGTAAAGTTAGCTGCCTTCTCTTTTTGCGCTCTAACATTCAATGTTGGATAGGAGCGGTGGCCATTTCAACTACAGTTTCACTAGGGTAAGTGACCTCACTGCAGTTCAGCCATTTTTATTGACTTATTGCAGCTATTTCCAGGAGAAATCATCAAGGAAAGTGGCTGATTAGCTATAGTCAAGAAACAGGGCGTCTCCAAGAGCATAATGCTGATAACTAGCTTAAATATGTGAAAAATCGAAATGGAATCAGGAAAGAGCAACAATATGAGCTAGAAAAAGGGGTATGACATCTACTGAACATTGCTATTAAAATTATTGAAAAGGTATTTCTTTAATGTTTGTTGTATTCACTGAGGTAATTTTCACGAATTTTCATATTAACACTTGCGAAACCCGAACACGACCATTCTTGGACAGATCCTATTATTCATTACCCACTTGTTATTCTAGGTTTTTCCTTTTTGAACCTCTGTACCATCTTTTCCTAGCGGTGATACAATAAAATGAACGACGGAATTTTATGAAAACCGAGGGGTTAACTTTCCTTTGGCATAGGAAGCCTTCATCAAAATCCCGTCTACGTTTCCATACAAATAACAGGGCATTTTTACTTATTCTCCAATTCCACAAGTTCCCAGATGATGGCTAGAAAGATGTCTTGCACTCCTACATCGCACTTTCTTTACTTGTTTTTGCATTATTATATAAGACTTTTTCTATAAAACCTGCTACCAATATGATAAATAAGCTCTTATCAACTTACGTTTCGACGGTATCCCCGTCTTCAGAGTCTGGAAACCTGAAGATTATCGCTATCCATCCCCCATTCAACAATTCAAATACAAAAAACTGGTTTCCTATGACTAATATTTCCAAATGGGCATAATAACCCTTAATACATTTAACCTACCTCATGAACAAGCCATCGTTTGGACGATCGCTCCAAAACTGAACAATAGAGTCTTGGGGGTAGCTTTAGATGACATGCCCTATCCCTCTCGATGTGATCGGGGGCAAACAAAACCCACAGAAGGAAAAAAGGCGCAAAAAATAAAAATATCCATTATCATACTTGGGGATTGAAACTGCTATTATGAAGTGATGCTCACGAGAATAACCTCTGTGAATACGGCAATACTAATCGAAATCGAATAAAAGTCAAGGTAAGGACATCTTGAAACATGGGCATATACTTAATTTCATATACTTAATTTTCTGTATTGCTCTGCCGTACAGATTTGTTATGGTTGAACGGCTTCATTGGTCGACGTTTCGACTAAATCCCTTGTCATTCGCATAATCGAATGTGAAATCAGAGCTGGTGGAACCGCAGAAGGTCCTTGAAGACGCTGGTTTAGTCGACATCTACCAATAAAGCGGCTCTACCATATCAAACTTGAACGGCAGAGCAGTAATGAACATGAAGTTAAGGTAAGGCTACTTACTTTTCGTATCTCTTTGTATGCAACAGTAGACTGCTACGGTGAGTGGGAATAAGTAGCACCAGTTCACTCAGTTCTGATCAATGATGCTAAGAAAAGAAGCGACAAACAAAGGGATTACGGCAAAAACAAATAAAAAAGCATTACAGTTCACAACTGGAGTTGAATGTCTTATTGTTAGACCAATTCATCCATCCGGCAAGACAAATTCAAAACGCGATTCTTACCGCCAACCCTGGCTTTACTCTGGAGCACGTTATTCTTCACTTATTGTTAAAACCTCGGACAAGTATGGCATTAGCATGGTAAAGTAAGTAATGATTCATTAGTTCAACATCTTGACCTACTCGTAGAAGCCAGTTTGAAAAAGGTCGCCAAGCTAAAGAGTGTAATAGCTGAAATCCTGTAGTTTTTTTCCCTTATCTAGAGAATTTCTCCAGGTGGTAACCGGGCCCAGGAATTCTCCGACTTTCCTGTAATTTTTCTACTAGTGGAACCTACTGGGCATCTATGAAAGCAAGTACATGCAAGTTCTCGAATCGACAAACAACCAATCGCCTTCCTCTTCCAATGTCCTACTCCGATGACAAGTGGTTTGCGACGTTTAATAGTCCTAACCTTCATTAACTTGCATTGTCGGAGCTTTAGAGCTCCGCCTCACAAAGCTGAATGAGTGGTAGCTTTTTTCGCAGGAATAACATAACGTTAAGGAAAAAGTACGGACCCCCTCCCCTCTTCCAATAATTATTAGTGCTGTTACAATGAGTGCGATATTACGACCTTGTAGGAGATGAGTGCATGAGTTGCTTCTCCTTGGCAATCTGCTCACCTGTTAGCCTTCCGATACTTACCTGGTGGCCAGCAATGATCAAGCCGATGAAGTCTGCTGTGATAACAGTCACGTTTGAAGTACCCGCACACTTTAGAGGTTATCAAAGTCAGCTGGCTCATTAAATCAATCCTGACAACGAGTTAGATAGTACTGCTCTATCTTTGGCGTTAATCCCTCTTTCTGGATAGGGTGGTTTAGGCAGTAGCAGAATATAGGTATCTCATTCAATGATCATTTTTTTTAAAAAGGTCAATAACATTAAAACTCATTAAAAAATAAAAAACTAAATTGGTGGTTCGTTTCGCCTCTTACATCCAGTCGAACCACTTTGTTCTTTGCCAACCCATGTTGATTTATCATTCATACATTCGTTATATCACAGACATATTATTTGCATAAATAGTATTTATACTGTTGAAAAAATGTTTGATAGCTAATTTGAAGTGGAGTATGATCAAATCTGTTTNTTTCTGGATAGGGTGGATTTTGGGAGTAGCAGAATATAGGTCTCTCATTCAATGATCATGTTGATTTATCAGTCATACATTCGTTATATCACAGACATATTATTTGCATAAATAGTATTTATACTGTTGAAAAAATGTTTGATAGCTAATTTGAAGTGGAGTATGATCAAATCTGTTTTAGTTTCCCGGCCGATGCACCAAAATGTGCGGGGTGGTTCAGTGG